GAAAAATCGAAAGGAAAATATTCATCATTTCACCCGGAAATTCGTGTTTTATCAAAGGAAATTTGTCAACGCCTGAAGGTTCATACGGCATTCTTCCTTAGCCCGGCAGAATAGCATGACGGCATTTCGTGATACTTGAAAAAAGGTCAAGAAAAAAAAAGAAATAAATTATTATTCCGGTGGAACATCGAGCCCCTCGACGACGCGACGCGACGACGGTTGCAGCTGTCAATAAGTGCGAAATGGTCGAGATTGAACAAAAGCACCCCCCGCGGGGGCGGACGAAAGGGGTCGAATGCTGCACCGGGAATCGATTTAAGAAGACGTGTGAAGAATGATGGACCCGGCTACAATGATGACGTTTTAATCGATAGCGACTGCTGACTGCGCTCCGGCCGGCGGCGGAGAGCGCGGTACCGAGCTGTCGGCTGTCTGGCAGTGAAAACCCGGAAGGTAACGAAGTAACGAGGAACGACTCCCCCACTACGGAAAACAGCAGCGTGTGCGAATTGGCCGCAAGTGCAAAACCCTGGTCTCACAGACGCGGGTTCTTGGGACCCGACCAGGGTTGCACAGGTGAAATGGAAAATACGAAATATGGCAAATTTCCGTGAGATATTTCATGAATTTTCACAAAGTTGTGAAAAATATGAAACATGTTTTCAGGGGCCGGGTATGCAACACGCACTAACAATCACCAAAAGGCAAAAATCAATCGTCTTCCTCTTAATTTTGCATTTAATTTCGAAAATTATTTTCAATAGTTTTCATATTTTTCTGAAATTTCATGAAATATTTCGCACGAAATTAGAAAATCTTATTTCCCATGAAAAATTGCAACCCTGGACCCTCACGCACTATACTGCCGTGCTAAGGAAGGACGCCGTATGAGCCTTCAGGCGTTGCCAAATTGCCTCCGATAAAACGCCAATTCCCTGGTAAACTTATGACTTTTTTTCTTCCGATTTTTTACGTAATTTTGTTCGTAATTTTACCTAAAGTTCAAAGAAGAAAAAAGCTTGAAATTTTCAAAGAGAAATATTCATAACTTTCCTCAAAAATTTGGCAACTCTCGAATGTTCATACGGCGTTTTTCCTTAGCACGGTGCCGTGCCGAATCTTTAAGCGTTGCCAAATTTCCTTTGATGAGACACAAATTTTCTGGTAAACTTAAGAATATTTTACTTCCAATTTTTCAGACAATTTTGCTCGCAATCTCACCGAAAAGTCCAGAAAATATCAAGGGAAAATATTCTTAACTTATTCTATAAAATGTTCTATAACTTTCCTAAAAATTTAAAAATTTATCGAGGGAGATTTGGCAACTCTCGAATGTTCATACGGTGTTCTTCTTTAGTACGGCAGTATAGCGAAGAGAGCTGCAGTAAGTGTCAAATTTGCAGAATCGAATTCCCTTCAAAATTTGTCTGTTCTCTTTCAGATGAAATCACTGAAATAGCTAAAACAATAAAATTTATCTTAATTGTCTAAAAACGAGACATATGAGAAAGCCGTAAGTGCGTAAAAAATGACGTGGTTTCAGGCAAGACACACCGAAAAATATAATATGCTGTTTTAGCACCTAGGATGTCAAACATGTGTCTGGTGATCCTATGATGCTGCCTTGATTGCCCACGCAGTTAAATTAGCATTCACAGGATGTAAAGTTAACTGCGAGGGCAGCAATGACAGCATCTTGGAATCAACAGACACATTTTTGACATCCTAGGAACTAAAACAGCATATTATTTTTTTCAGTGCAGAGCAGCGGTAAGTGACATTATTCCTCCAGAGAGCCAATGAAAACAATGTTTTCAAGTATCGAACCTGAAAATGTGTTTGCTGTGTGTCCGAAACGCAACCGCGAAAGCATACAGAAGATATAGCACGTTCGGCTATTTTGCCTAGCATGAAAATGAAAAATATTCTTCTTGTATCATTGAAATAAAATGCATCGATCGATTTTTAATCATCCAAACGATTTCTAGGAGTCTTTCGGATGATTAGTGGCAATTTGACAAAGAACGGAGACGTATTTTAATATCTCCCGGTCTGACGCTTCTGAGCTCGTTTTCTCAAAACTTTATTTTTGCACTAACTGCTCTCATCGTTATCACGGCAGACTGGGAATCAAAAGAAGCAGGAAGAGCATTGGAAAAGAGGAAGAAAGCAGAAGACAAAGAAGATAAAGAAGGAGGGGAAAATGGAGAGTAAGAAAACGAGACAGAAAGAGGAAAAGAAGAAAAATATGAAGAAAAGAATGATATTCCTTAACTTTTTTCTATTTTTCTTACCCTTTTTCTTTTTCTCGTCCTTCTCTTCATTCTTTTCTTTCCTCTTCTTCTTTATGTTACTCTTCTCAAATAGCAATCCTTGGGTTTTAAGACCAGCATCCTCCTGACTACAGGACTACGCATAAAAAAGGAGGACAATATTTCGCCTTCATCTCGTAAGACAGGCAAAAGCGGGTCCTCGGGAGTATCAATAGTGGTATCGCCGCGCCGTGCCAAGAGATTTACACGACAGAGTTTTGGCTCTGTTGCGATTGTCTAATGGCTTTTAGATCTTTAAAGGAGTGACTAAAGGAATATTTACGAGAATAGCTCTGATTTCAGCTCGTTACTTGTAATTAATTTGTTAAACAGGGATTAGCCTAGGGTGATTAATTACAACAAACTTATTTCACTCGCTCTCCGAAGCGAGTACTTGCCGGCCACTATTGCGTGACGAGCTTGCGAGTCAATTTAACATTAATTGAGCTAAATTTTGCAATAAGGAACGGCTATCTCTACAGGGTCATTTTAAAAAGAACACATGTGTTATTGGTCTCCATGTGCAGATACATGTTTTATGCGAAAGCGGGAAATAGTAGTTCTTTAATGAACAATGTGGTTTAGTTAAAATGTATTTTTCTTTTCAATTAAACATCACGTGAGTGAAGGGTTTGCATGCCGAGGTGATTTTCGATTTATCAATTAATTTCGATGAAAAATTTTCCGGAATACAAAATAGTCTGACTAAAACTGTTTGAGGATGAGTCTCTAGAAATTCGCGCGGTTTTTCGTCCTTTTTTTTAAGCGCACAGCCGATTGGCAATCTCTTCTTGATTTCGTTTTGCCATGCCGCTAGAGTTCCTTGGTAGCAGAGCGTTCAAGCGATTGAATGGCTCACCAACTCAACGAAAAATGGTTGACTAAATTCTCAGAATTTTCTATTTACTAGCTGATAATACCCCCTTAAACGTTATTAAATATGAATTAGGGGATGAAATGAATAAAATTCCTAAAGTTTTCTTTGCTAGGAAGTTCATAGTTATTTCATT